TATACATCTGTAAGTATACATCAAGTTCATCACATTGTAGCAATTTACACTTGTTTCCTTTACAAAAAAAATTTTTTTTTTATCTTCTTCTAGTCAAGTTCTGATCATCAAGCCATCAAGGTTACAATGAATGGGTACTATCTACAAGTTTTGGTGTTTTGTGCATCTCCCCTCACTTCATAACATCTGGATGCTTCACTCTCAGCTCTAGCCCTTCAAGGCCACGTCATTGTCCATAGGCTTAGGTCTCACCACACTTAGGACCAAACAGCCCTTAATATATAAGAGTTTTAAGAGGATATTTGAACATGGGTAACCACAGTGACCTCACCAGATAGGATACATAGAAATCAAATTGACTACAAATGAGGAAAGAGAAGATGGAAAAGCTTCATATCATCAGTGAAAACAAGGCCAGGGGCAGACTGTGGAACAGACCATCAATACTCACATGCAAATTCAAACTGAAACTGAAGAAAATGAAAACAAGTCCACGAGAGTCAAAAGATGACCTTGAATATATCCCACCTGAATTTACAGATCATAAGAAGAACAGATTTCATACATTAAACACTAAAGACAACAGGTAGACTTAAACTGAAAACAGAAAATACTAGAAAGATGTTTTCTTGTGCTTTGTTAACTACAGTGTGGATCATAACAAACTATGGATAGCATTGCGAAGAATGAGTATCCTAGAACACTGAATTGTGCTCTTGAAGAAACTAATAGACCAAGAGGTACTTATTAGAACAGAACCAGAGGACACTGAATGATTTAAATTCAAGAAAAGTGGGCACCAGGGGCGTATACTATAGCCATATTTACTCAATCTATATGCTGAGCAAATAATCTGAGAAACTGGATTGTATGAAGATGACACAGCCTCAGTTTTGGAGGAAGACTCATTAAAAACCTGTGACAGAAAGAAAAAAAAAACAAAAAAAAAACAACCTGCGATAGCAGATGACACATCCTTGCCAGCTGGACATGAAGAGGACTTAAAATACTTACTGATAGAGATGAAAGAGTAAAACCTTCAATATAGATTGCACCCTCAAGTAAAGAAAATGAAAATCCTCACAACTGAACCAATAAATAACATCAGGAAAAATGGGGCTTTCAAAGACTTCGTTTTCCTTGGATCTATAGTCAACACTTATGGAAACAGCAGTTAAGAAATCAAAAGGCATATTGCATATGGGAAATCTGCTGCAAAAGACCTCTTTAAAGTGTTGAAGAACAAACAGGTCACTTTCAAACTAAGTGCATCTGATCCAAGCACCTTCAATTGCCCCAAATGTTTGTGAAAGTTGGACAGTGAATAATAACAAGGACCAAATAAGGATTGATGCATTTGAATTGGAGGAAAATATTGGAAGTACCTTGGGTTTCCAGAAGAACAAACAAATCTGTTTTGGAAGAAGTGCTGCCGGAATGCTCTTTAGAAGCAAGGACATGTGGTCAGAAGAAAATTGTCCCTAAAGAAGGACATTATACTTGACAGAGTGGAATGTTAGCAAAAAAGAGGAAGACTCCCCAAAAGATGGTATGACACAAAAGAAGCAACAATGGGCTCAAATACAACAATTGTGATGGTGGTACAGGACTGGGCAGTTTCATTCTGTTGTCCACTGACTTGAAGGGGACCTGGTGTGGTGCTTTAGAATAAATCCTTTGGACATTCACAGATTGGCTAAAAGAGCTTTATAACAGTTACTGGATTAGGGCAGAGGCCAAGGAATCATATGGCTCAGAGGCTGAAACGAAAGTGAGGTGTGCCTGCAGTCTGGGAGACAAGAGGCATTCCTGACTAGAGAACTGCTGCATCCTGAATTGGTTTTGATCCTGAATTGTACCATGTTCACTTCTTTAATAAGCCCCATAATTGTGAGCATTGGTATAAATTCTGTGTGGGCACTGCAGGAGATTATAGAGCCCAGAGGTGAAGCAGAGTGCTGTGGGATGGATGGATGGTGTCAGAATAGGGCCAAAAAAGTTGTAGGTTGGAAGCATGTCTGACCTCCACTTCACAGAAATCGGTCTTGGGCATATTTTGAGATTGAGTCTCTCTCCCCCTTGTGAAGCCAGGGGAAGTCAGCCATGGCTCCCACATGGTTTAAACAGTAGGCCACACAATTTCTCATAGTGCTATTGTGGGCTGGGTTTGCAGGCTCAGTGTTAAGAACAAAATGACTCCTAAGATTTTAATCATAACTCTGACCCCAAATGCTGCCCTGGGCTCTCAGATCATACAGGTTCTTCAGCAGCTAATCGGGCTAGCAGACATCTGAAGCACAGTGACAACATGATAGTTTCACAGACTCTGGTGCTATTTTCTGGCCTCAATGGACTTTCTTATTCTAAGACTGTTCCTTTTACTTCCCTTGCTTGCTGTTTTGGTGTAGGCACACCTTTTCTCCCCAACTGGATCTGTTTTCCTTCTCATCATATTAAAACTGGGGGATGAGAAAATATGATCAGTGCTTATTTCTCTCCATGAATCTGCTTTAAAATATGACTCTTGTGCACTCGCTTTTATCACGCTAATTGTTGAAAATTGAATTGAGTGCATCTCCAGCCGGTAGTTAGTACAGATGTGCAGCTGAAAGCTGGAGAGTTCTAATTCAATCATATCCTGAGGCCCTCTTGTTATATAGATTAGAGCCCTGATGCTTTCTCCACCAATGGCAGGTTTTTCTCAAATGAAGATGCTATTAGATGACAGTAGGCTTATATGAGAAAGACATTGGTCTGGTGATAATATATACAGCTGTGCATAAAGCCAACCATTATATCATGAATTCTCAATAAAGAAAATAAACAATGGTTAATAGTCTTGGAAATGATGTAAGATAGACTCCCTGTATTTAATAATAAAGACCATGTGGCCATACAAATAGGAAAAAGTTGGAGCAGGGACAGAGGACCCTGTGTCTAGTACCATTGGTCATATTTTGAGAAGAACACTTACTTTTACTAATTCTGTTTCCACATCTATAGGATAAGCACAACACTTTGAAACACAAGGTTGGCGGTTCAAACCCACCAGCTGCTCCTCAGAAACCCTATACAGGGTTGCTCTAAGTCAGAACTCACTTGATGGCACTTAACAACAAAAACAAAAAGTGGATCTAAGGAGTCCTGGTGGAATAATGGTTAAGAACTCGGCAATTAACCAGAAGGTCAGAGGTTTGAACTCATTCAATGGCTCCAGGAAAATAAGACCTTGTGATCTGCTCCCATAAAGATGACAGTTTAGGAAATCCTGTGGAATAGTTCTATCAGGTAACATTAGAAAGAGATAGAAACTTTGAAGAACAATATAAATACTTTTGGGAGCCCTTGAAAAAATAGAAAATTCCACTGGATGGAGTGAGGTAGGCAGGAAGAGGAGCAGTGTTTCTCCCCCAACACAGTCAAAACTGATTCCCTTTGACATTCTCCGCAGAGTCCATAGATGTAACAGTTGCTCATTCATTTATTCATTTGGCAAATATTTATTGAGCGTTTACTGTGATTCAGTACTCTGGCTATTATCCATATTCCCCTCAATTTCTCTTCTGTCTTACCCTAATTGCAGGCGAATTCTCTAGTACTCCACTCTTTAATAAAATCTGTACATCAGTGTACAGCTTCTTACTACTTCTAACGTATACCTTCTTATTTCTATGGTAAACTCTATTAGCATAGTGGATTAAGAACTGGCTGCTAACTGCAAGGTCAGAAGTTCACATCTACCAGTAACTTCTCGGGAAAAGATAAGGCTTTCGGCTCCGATAAAGATTTACAGCCTCGGAAACCCTATACAGGGGTCGCTGAGTCAGAACTGAGTCCACGACACACAACCACCAACAACCAGTTTCTTTGGTTTCTTCTGGTTCTATTTTTAATGACCTTGATGAGCACAGCAAAGGGTTCCTGAGATTATCAGAAAAATCACATTCTTTGCAATAGTAAAACATTGAAGAATTGTTTATAGAGGCTCTTTGTTCTTGTATCAAAGAGCCATTTGTCATTTTCCTTGTGAGTTATTGGCTATATTAGAACATGTATTGCTCTGCAACTTGGAACATTTCACAAGTTGTGCTGTGGGTTAATGCACTGGACTGCAAAATCACTTAAGTGATTTTGAACTGCAAGGTTGGCTGTTCAAGCTCACCAGCCACTCCTCAGAAACTCAGTACAAGGCCGGTATGGGTTGGAACTGACTCAACGGCACTTAACAACAACAGAGAAAATAGACTTTAAAAATGTTTATTATTGTGATTTTAGAACTTCTGTTGTTTATTTGGAGATAAATGTTTGCAAAGATGAATAGATATTACCAAGTTTCTCTCTTTTCTAACCAAGCATAACAGATTTTCATCTACCTACATTTGACATATAAATCTGTCTTGCAGATATAATTGTACATATAATTCTGTACAGCCAGAATGCTTCTTAGAAATGAGGATGGAGAATGTTTTGCTTACTTTAAACATGCTATCAGAAAGGATAAGTTCCTGGAGAAGTACGTCATGCTTGGGATGGGTCAGTGAAAAACAGAGAGACCCTCAGTGAGAGGGATTGAGATATGGCTGCCACAATGAGCTTAAATTTAGCAAGGATCATAGGTATGGCACAGGTCACTATGAACAGAACTGACTCAAGGGTACCTAACAACAGCTTATCAAATACTATCTCCTCCTGGCTTCTGCTGATGGCGTTAAGTGTTGTTGAATTAGCTCCAACTCATAGTGACCCTCTACAGAGTTTCCAAGAAGTGGCTGATGGGTTTGAACCACCAACCATTCAGTTCACAGTCCAGTGCTTATTCTACAGCACCACACCAGGTCTCCTTCCTGTCCCTCTCCTTAATATTTATTCTAGTAAAAGTTATCAGACAGCATGTTCTGTCATTTGTGAAAAATTTCAGTAAAACTATTCCTTAGTTGCTCCACCCCCAATCTAGAGTGGAATTAAAATCTTTCTTGATTAGATTTCTAGCACCAACTCACCTGTCAAAAAGTTCTCCTCCTGTGACAAGTTCTAGGACCAAACTGATTTCTGTAGGAGTTTCAAATATCTCTTTAAGTTTTATCTGAGGAAAGACACACACACAAAAAAAAAATCACAAATTCCTTATTTTCATCTTTCTTGGAAATGCCTAAGATCACCAGAAAAAAATCACATTCTTTGCAATAGTGAAACGTTAAAGGATTGTTTATAGAGGCTCCTTTTTCTAGTATCACAGAGTCATTTGTCATTTTCCTTGTGGGTTATTTTCTTATCAGTAATCTCATTTATTCAAAGTCCTACTGAATTTTGATAATTTTCCTTTTGTCAGTTTAAATATATCTGCCTTACAAACACTTCTTAAAATTTTGCCAAAATGTTCCAATTCTTAAATGGCTGTAGACTTAAAAACAAATTAATGAACAACAAAAATAAGATTTCCTAAGCCATGTGATGGTATTCATGGTTGCTAGCAATGCAAATTCACCTTTTTCTTGGGAAGGAACTTGGAATTAAGGTCCAAGGCAGGGCTAGGACTACCCTATAAAGTCTATTTGTATAGAAAGGATAGCCCTCAACAACTATAAAATTGTTCATGGATGAAGGAGTTCACAGAAAAGAAGATGTTGCCGTTATTAGGTGCCGTCAAGTTGGAACCAATTCACAGCAACCTTATGCACAACAGAACAAAACATTGCCTTGTCCTGCATCAACTTCACAATTGTTGCTATGTTTGAGCCCATTGCTAATTTCACTGTTCCAGTCCATTTTGTAGGGGTCTTCCTCTTTTTCTCCAACCCTCTAATTTACCAAACATTACATAATCCTCCAGGGATTGGTTTCTCCTAATAGTAAGTCCAAAGTATGAGAGAAGACTGGCCATCCTGGCTTCCTGGGAGCATTCTGGCTGTACTTCTTCCAAAACAGATTTGTTTGTTCTTTTGGAAGTCCACAGTACTTTTAATATTCTT